AATTCTGATGAAATGTGTGATCTTACTGCCTCACAATCCAAAGTATTAAGGTTGACAGAGTAGTCTATCAAAGTAATCAGACCAATTATTTTACTAAATTTAACTTTGACTATATTTAACTGCTTCGCTTAAGTAAAAGGTTTTAAACTTCTTCCACTACCACAAAAATACTTTTAAAGAGTTAAACCAAGTCCCATAATTTTTCTTCATAGAAAATTACCATCTAGTTCATACTGCAAACGGCTTTGAGACAGGGCATACAGATGATGGCGGAAGCGAAGATGGAGCTTGAATCTGATGGCGGTGGAAATCAGGATGAATGGACTTTTGTCCAAAAGAATGGAAAAAGGAGCAAAATAGTTGTGGAAAATACATCTGCTGCTGCAGATACCCCATCGTATCTAGTAGGAATGTTATTTTTTTAGGTGAACAAGTTATGCCCAATTTAGTGGATCCGTTTGAAATATCAGAACAGGTGGAGAAAGCAAGAGGTAAAGTTAAATCTGTGAAAATCACGAGAAGTGGACTTGTTTTGATATCTGGTGTATCTTTTGATCAGAAGAAACTTGTGTTGGATCTCACGCAAACTGATGGATATGATGTGTCGTGCTTTGATCTACGAAGGTAGGGCACCTGTCAAAGGAGTAACTTCTGGAGTAGCAGAAGAATTTGACATTGCTTTACTGAAGTAGATTCATGGAGTGGTCAATGCACATACAGTGAGGGAAAAAAAGTGTTTGATCCCTTGCTGATTTTGTACGTTTGCCCACTGACAAAGACATGATCAGTCTATAATTTTAATGGTAGGTTTATTTGAACAGTGAATGACAGAATAACAACAAAAAAATCCAGAAAAACGCATGACAAAAATGTTATAAATTGATTTGCATTTTAATGAGGGATATAAGTATTTGACCCCTCTGCAAAACATGACTTAGTACTTGGTGGCAAAACCCTTGTTGGCAATCACCTAGGTCAGACGTTTCTTGTTGTTGGCCACCAGGTTTGCACACATCTCAGGAGGGATTTTGTCCCACTCCTCTTTTCAGATCTTCTCCAAGTCATTAAGGTTTCGAGGCTGACGTTTGGCAACTCGAACCTTCAGCTCCCTCCACAGATTTTCTATGGGATTAAGGTCTGGAGACTGGCTAGGCCACTCCAGGACCTTAATGTGCTTCTTCTTGAGCCACTCCTTTGTTGCCTTGGCCGTGTGTTTTGGGTCATTGTCATGCTGGAATACCCATCCACAACCCATTTTCAATGCCCTGGCTGAGGTAAGGAGGTTCTCACCCAAGATTTGACGGTACATGGCCCCGTCCATCGTCCCTTTGATGCGGTGAAGTTGTCCTGTCCCCTTAGCAGAAAAAAACCCCCAAAGCATAATGTTTCCACCTCCATGTTTGACGGTGGGGATGGTGTTCTTGGGGTCATAGGCAGCATTCCTCCTCCTCCAAACACGGCGAGTTGAGTTGATGCCAAAGAGCTCGATTTTGGTCTCATCTGACCACAACACTTTCACCCAGTTCTCCTCTGAATCATTCAGATGTTCATTGGCAAACTTCAGACAGGCCTGTATATGTGCTTTCTTGAGCATGGGGACCTTGCGGGCGCTGCAGGATTTCAGTCCTTCACGGCATAGTGTGTTACCAATTGTTTTCTTGGTAACTATGGTCCCAGCTGCCTTGAGATCATTGACAAGATCCTCCCGTGTAGTTCTGGGGTGATTCCTCACCGTTTTCATGATCATTGCAACTCCACGAGGTGAGATCTTGCATGGAGCCCCAGGCAGAGGGAGATTGACAGTTATTTTGTGTTTCTTCCATTTGCGAATAATCGCACCAACTGTTGTCACCTTCTCACCAAGCTGATTGGCGATGGTCTTGTAGCCCATTCCAGCCTTGTGTAGGTCTACAATCTTGTCCCTGAAAATCCTTGGAGAGCTCTTTGGTCTTGGCCATGGTGGAGAGTTTGGAATCTGATTGATTGATTGCTTCTGTGGACAGGTGTCTTTTATACAGGTAACAAGCTGAGATTAGGAGCACTCCCTTTAAGAGTGTGCTCCTAATCTCAGCTTGTTACCTGTATAAAAGACACCTGGGAGCCAGAAATCTTTCTGATTGAGAGGGGGTCAAATACTTATTTCACTCATTAAAATGCAAATCAATTTATAACATTTTTGACATGCGTTTTTCTGGATTTTTTGTTGTTGTTATTCTGTCTCTCACTGTTCAAATAAACCTACCATTAAAATTATAGACTGATCATTTCTTTGTCAGTGGGCAAATGTACAAAATCAGCAGGGGATCAAATACTTTTTTCCCTCACTGTAGAATTAATCGCATGGTAAATGGCAGGAAGGAGTACAGTTTGTTTGCAAATAACAAAACATTATTTATAATGCTACTGTTAATAATAATATAGTAGGACTATAGGCCGCTAAGGTCATTAAAATGTTTTTAATGTATTTTTTTAATGTATAATAATAATAATAATAATAATAATAATAATAATAATAATAATAATAATAATAATAATAATAATTGTAAGAACAATTTCCAAAATAATATTCATATAATAATTATTATAATAATCTTTATAAAATACATTTAAATCCCATTGTTATTTAGCCCATTCATATTGCATGATGTTCAGTATGTTTTTCATATTGGACATACAGTACATATTGCACCTTACATAATTGCCTGTACGTTGTGTCACAGTAAAGGGGGGGGGCGGCATTCTACTCAGGACCACTTCTCCAAATCCACAGAGTTTACACCCCAAGGAGTGTTGCTGGTCATTTTGTGGCCCTTACAGAATGGACAATCAGCTTCAATGCAGTACTTTTTTCGTATTGAACATACTGCATATTGCACCGTACACAATTATCTGTACAAAACAGATTAGTTTGAACAAAAAGCTATGGCATATGCAGCGTTTACCGTGAATGCAGTCTCCACTTATGTGGGATCATTGCCTTTAAATTTCAATCATGCTGTAACCCTGAAACTTCTGCAATACGGATTGACTAGCGCCCTTACTGTGGTCAAATAGCTTAAAGGCCAAGTGCAGTCAAAAACTTGATTTTCCTGTGATTTCTATATATTTCCACACTATAATACTGTGAAAATTATGATAATGCACTTTTAGTGTAAGAGACCACCTGAAATGTCAGCCTGTTTGGTGGGATGGCGTTTTGCACCAGGCGGTAAATTAGTCAATAGACCAACGAGAAAGAGAGTTCCAAACCTCTCTGCCAATAACAGCAAATTGTCAGTTTTTCTTTCCCCATTTAGATCAGTCCCAGACAGTCCTAATACAATTATTGCTTGAGAAATTGCACTTTGCTAAGAAGCCATTTTTGGTTGTTTTTGACAATTTTAATTGAAAACAATCACAGTCAGGTACTTAATTGTTACCCAGAAATGATTTGATACTGAACATGGTTACATGCACACAATAAAAGGTTAAAATAATAGTTCGTTTAAAAAGTTTACATGCTTTGCAAGAACGATTTCCCTAATAATCTTGTTTACATAGACAAATCTGAAATCAGGCTACTGATGGGACTTTTCATGAATGCATAAAATCGGCAATCAAAATAAACGTTTACCACAGGGACCATGTTATTTTTGCAAAGACTTTTTGATTCTGAGTTCGGACATATAAAGTTTGTATGTGAAAACTATTTAGAACAACTTTAAGTTTTTCCCAACTAACTTTACTTGCGCATAAGATGGAGGCTTGCGCTACCTGGTGCTGGCACATGTGAAGATCAAATGCACTGCTGGAACGCCGATTAAGCTGTTTACATGTCCTAATCATTTGAAAGATTGCACAGAAAACCAGGTGTTTTAATCGGCGTATGCTTATTTCAATTATGACCTAACGCCGATTAAGATAAGCAGAGTAAGGTGTTTACATGACTAATGCCATACTCGGCCTACTGCCAGTTTAATATCAAATTATTAGTGTGCTTGTAAATGTACTCATTGAGATAAAAACGACTGCATTAGACCTTTTAAAGTAGGTTTTTATTTTACATTAATTTTTCTACTACTTGTAGTTAGCCTTTTGACAAACTACAAGCGGGCTGTCATGTGCCTTTACTGAGGAGTGGCATCCGTCTGGCCACTATACCATAAAGGCCTGATTGGTGGAGTGCTGCAGAGATGGTTGTCCTTCTGGAAGGTTCTCCCATCTCCACAGAGGAACTCTGGAGCTCTGTCAGAGTGACCATCGGGTTCTTGGTCACCTCCCTGACCAAGACCCTTCTCCCCTGATTGCTCAGTTTGGGCGGACGGACAGCTCTAGGAAGAGTCTTGGTAGTTCCAAACTTCTTCAATTTAAGAATGATGGAGGCCACTGTGTTATTTGGGACCTTCAATGCTGCAGAATCTTTTTGGTACCCTTCCCCAGATCTGTGCCTCGACACAATTCTGTCTCGTCGCGCTACAGACAATTCCTTCAACCTCATGGCTTGGTTTTTGCTCTGACATGCACTGTCAACTGTGGGATCTTATATAGACAGGTGTGTGCCTTTCCAAATCATGTCCAATCAATTGAATTAACCACAGGTGGACTCCAATCAAGTTGTAGAAACATCTCAAGGATGACCAAGTGAAACAGGAAGCACCTGAGCTCAATTTCAAGTTTCATATCAAATGGTTTGAATACTTATGTAAATAAGGTATTTCAGTTTTGTATTTTTAATAAATTAGCAAAATTGTGCTGAGAAAAAAATCATATTTAATTATTTTTAGAATAAGGCTGTAATGTAACAAAATGTGGAAAAAGTCAAGGAGTCTGAATACTTTCCGAAGGCACTGTATCTAAACTTTAGCCGGCTGAATTGGTCTGACTGCTAGAATGGCCAGCTAGCTAACGTTAGCTAATGTTGACATCACTCATAATCTACCTATCTTGTTTGCTTTCCTCCTTTGATTGTTGTTGACTTTGTAAATTTCAGATAAAAAATGCCCTTGTCTACCCAGTCTTAGACGGGATATGACAACTATGTCCTTGTAGCCAGTCTGGATAATGTCAGGAATTTGTCCAACATCTTGAAAGCCATCACCTTCAAAGATCATGCCATCTTCAATGCCACACCAAGTGGCTTGAAAGTAACAGTGGAGGACTCCAAATGTCTGCAAGCCAATGCATTCATTCAGGTTAGTGCAGGGATATCAACACACACACACACACACACACCACACAAACACAGGCAGAGAACCAGTCATAAACTTTTGGATGACGTGTGTTATCATGTCTGATTTATGTTGAATTCTTTTCCAGGATGAGATCTTCCAGGATTTTACTATGAGAGAGGACCAGTGCTTAATTTGTAAATCAGGAGTTACTAGAACAAAAAGTGAGCATGTGAGGGGGTGGGGGAGTTCTGAGGTACCGGAACGCATGAGAAAATAAATCACCTTGATAATAAAGCATTGACTGCATTCATATCACTGCATTTGCATAGTGCATAGAGCAGTAGAGTAGAGGTACTTACAGAAGTTGCACACATGGGGAACATTTTTAGTAGCCTAGGGTCTGGGAAAAATGTGTCCTTTTATAAACGCATTTCATGCAATTCTATGTCATTTTACATGACTGGAGACTTTGGCAGGCTACTTTGACACTGACAAACTGAAAATCTGAGATCAATAAAGACGACCTCGTCTTGAATTCATCAACAGCCTAGGCCTAGGTGTGTGGAGACACATATTGTAGGCTACAATATGAGGAGGAAATTATAGTCCTAAAAATACTTTCCAGTTTCACTGACACTCCCAATGATGCACAGCTCACTCACTGGTGAAAAACCTATCTCTCTTGTTTTACTTTGTAAAACAATATTTGGAAGTTGATCAAATATTTTGGTAGCCTACAGCATAGTCTTCTATTTTCAGCAGTAGCCATTTGCTTTCCAACCTGTGTTTTCCCTAGATTTTATTTGAAATATTGCGTATGGCCTGTTTTGTCTGCATGCTGTTTGTTCACTGACAGATTTGCAGCGCATTCACAAATGTAGGCTATTCCTTGTTATTGGGCTACAATCCACAGCTAGACTATTTAAAAATATAATAAGCTATTGATCTTCTGTGGCTAAACTATAGGCCTTCTCATGGTGTAGTAGGCTGTTCTGAATGATTTAATGTATTTCTGAACAGACAGCAGTAATTCTATAACTTTGGCAAATATATTTCAATTGATCAGGGGTGCTGCAGTTCCTTCAGAATCCTTTTGTGCGGCTTTGATTCTGTAAGGAAATAAATGATGAAGTGCAACACTGGAGAGATGAGATTTGCAGGCTCATGCATATCAGAGCAGGGAGGGAGAGAGATCATATAAAGTGAATCTCATTCTAGTTATGTGAGAGATACAGGCACTCTTCTCACACAGCCACGGACACCCGTTGGTCTCACACATACAGTAGGTTACAATGTTGCGCAAACCATAAACCCGGGCCGGCCCAACCCGAATCAACTCTTAGAATATTAGGCCCAGGCTGAAAATCTACTTTTTCCCATTATGTTTTTTTGTGGGGGCAGGAGAATTAACAAAGAGGCAACTCAAATGAACATTATTTTTCATGCCATGAGAGTTACCGGATCTTGCCAAACAGGCTCCGGAACAAAACAGTCCAAAACAGAGAGGTGCTGGATCCTGTTCCTGCAGGATCCAGTTCAAATTAAGCACTGGAGAGGACTCAGTGGGGTTCCAGGTCAACCTAACCTGTCTCACCATCTTTGGGGGAAGCACGGTACCAGATAATGAAGAAGACTGTCTTCTTGATATCCTTTCAGATTTCTACTGAGTGATTAAAAACCAATCGGATGAAGACTTTGTCGACCGAAACGCCATACTTTTAAGCTGAAGAATAATACAATCATCAGCTTTTTATTGTAGGAGAGAGTCACAGTCACAGCTTTCTAAAATATCAGACAAAAAAACTATAAAAGCTACTGGAAGTAACTAACATGTCTATTTTGTGTTGAAGGAGTGACCACTGCCTTACGGATGTGCTACGATGGCTACGGCTACCCCCGAACCTGTTTCTGGAGGAGGGTGTCATGGTGACGGAGTGTAAGATCAACACCCAGGAGCCAGAGGAGCCCATCCACTTTGAGTTCTGAAGCACCAATGTGACCAATAAAGTCCTCCTGCAGTCAGAGAGTCTGAGCTGGACATGACCAGTGAGGTCCTGCAAATCACTGAGTACGTTTACATGCACAGTAATAATTCAATATTAAACTGATTATGGCAGTAGGCAGATTATGCAATAATAAAAAAAGATTGTTTGGTAAATACAGTAGGATAAATACACATGTAGGTAAAGTCCATTCTCGTTTTTTTTTCTCATTTCCTTTTAAGAGCTTTGTCACAATGGACCAGTCAGTCAATCAGGTAGCCTGATTTCAGAAGTGTCCATGTAAACAGGATTATTAGGGAAATCGTTCTTCTTGCAAAGCATGTAAACATTTTATTCAAACTATTATATTAATCCGACTATCCTCAATAATCGCATTATTGTGTGCATGTAACCTTACTCATTGTCTCCAAGTCAGCCCTACTTCAGGTGAAAAACATGTTTTGTTGTTGTTGTTGGTGGTGTTGTTGTTGCTGCTGTTGTTGTGAGGTCCTGAAAATCAACATAGCTGGATTCAAATACCCATACTAACACACTGTATACTACATGTGTCACGTTCGTTGAATACAGGATTGGACCAAGGTGCAGCGTGGAATGCATACATGTTTATTCACCAAGTTAATACACGACAAAACAACAAAAGCAACGTAATGTGAAGCTCACAATGGCTACACACAAACAAGCCAAACAAGAGTCAAGATCCCACCACATAAGTAGGCAAAATGTCTACCTAAGTATGATCCCCAATCAGAGACAACGATCGACAGCTGCCTCTGATTGGGAACCACACCCGGCCAACATAGAAATATACAATCTAGATCTACACATAGATACCTAGATATTCACATGAAAACCTCTAGCATTCACACCCTGACCAACCTAACTAAAGAATAACAGGCTTTCAAGGTCAGGGCGTGACAGTACCCCCAACCCCCCCCCCCCCCCCTCCCCCCAAATGTGCGGACTCTGGCCGCACCAACCTGACTCATTAGGGGAGGGTCCTGGTGGGCATTCAGCCTCGGTGGCGGCTCCGTCTCCGGGCGTGACGTCCTCCCCCTTTCTGCCTCCCCGTTGCACCCCTGGTCCGGTCTGGACCTCGGCGCGATACTTCCCCTCTCAGTCCCCCCGCGATGCACCAAGCCCTGTCTGGACCCTGGTGTGGGAGGCCCCGATCCTGGAGAGGGGTTGACGTCTGGTTCTGGAGTGGAGCCGCTGACCGGAGCTGAACTGGACCCCGGTGGAGCGGACTGCTCTGGCTCTGGACTGGAGCAGCTGACCAGAGCTGGACTGGGCACCGGTGGAGCGGACTGCTCTGGCACTGGAGTGGAGCAGCTGACCGGAGCTGGACTGGGCACCGGTGGAGCGGACTGCTCTGGCACTGGAGTGGAGCAGCTGACCGGAGCTGGACTGGACACCGGTGGAGCGGACTGCTCTGGCACCAGCCGTACCGGGCTGGGGACACGCACCACTGGTCTGGTGCGAGGAACAGGCATGGGTCGCACCGGGCTTGGAACACGCACCACTGGTCTGGTGCGAGGAGCAGGCATGGGCTGTGCCGGACTGGAGACACGCACCACTGGTTTGGTGCGAGGAGCAGGTACAGGCCGTACCGGACTGGATACACGCACCACTAGTTTGGTGCAGGGAGCAGGTATGGGGCGTACCGGGCTGGAGACACGCACCACTGATGTGGTGTGGGGAAAAGGTATGGGCCGTACCGGACTGGATACACGCACCACTGGTTTGGTGCGGGGAGCAGGTACGGGGCGTACCGGGCTGGAGACACGCACCACTGGTTTGGTGCAGGGAGCAGGTACGGGGCGTACCGGGCTGGCGACACGCACCACTGGTTTGGTTCGGGGAGAAGGTATGGGCCGCACCGGACTGGATACACGCACCACTGGTTTGGTGCAGGGAAAAGGTACGGGGCGTACTGAGCTGGCGACACGCACCACTGGTTTGGTGCGAGGAGCAGGTATGGGGCGTACCGTGCTGGCGACATGCACCACTGGTTTGGTGCGGGGAGCAGGTACGGACCGTACTGGACTGGATACACGCACCACTGGTGTGGTGTGGGGAGCAGGTACAGGCCTTACCAGGCTGGAGACACGCACCACTGGTTTGGTGCGAGGAGCAGGTACGGGGCGTACCAGGCTGGCGACACGCACCACTGGTTTGGTGCGAGGAGCAGGTACGGGGTGTACCGGGCTGGCGACACGCACTACTGGTTTGGTGCGGGGAGCAGGTACGGGCCGTACTGGACTGGATACACGCACCACTGGTTTGGTGCGAGGAGCAGGCACGGGCCGTACTGGTCTATGAAGGCGCATTGGCGGCACAGTGCGTAAAGCCGGCACATAGCCTGATGTCTGCACGGACACACTCTCCTCAAAGCGAGTGCGGGGAGTTGGCTCTGCTAAACCTGGCTCCGCCAGCTCTAAGGCCCGAGCTCCCTGCTGCTGGAGGGTTAACTCCTCTCTCAGCTCCTCCTGTTGCCTGGCCAGCTCCTCTCTCTGTGCATCCACTAATTCCTTCTCCCTTTGGGCCTCCTGCAGTGCCTCCTTCTGAAGTGAGAGCTCCTGCTTCCTCTTCTCTAACAGCCCCCGTAATGTGGTGGCCTCTCTCATAATGCTGATCCGTAGGTCTTGGAGGACCTCTACAATAGCGGCCTCCTCCTCCACAGTCAGCCCTTTCACGGCCTCCTGCTGCTTCGTCGACCACCCCGTGTGCCCCCCCCCCCCCATTTTTTTTATTGGGGTTGCCTCTCGGGTCTCCTTCGTCGTTTCGTATTTTGGAGTCACCGTCGATCCTCTCCTACCTGGGCTTCTACCTTCGCCCAAGGTCCTTTCCCAGCAAATATCTCCTCCCAAGACCACATCTTCCCCACCTGTGTCCAGGGTGTTTGCTCCTCCTGGGCACGCTGCTTGGTCCGTTGGTGGTGGGATCTTCTGTCACGTTCGTTGAATACAGGATTGGACCAAGGTGCAGCGTGGAATGCATACATGTTTATTCACTAAGTTAACACATGACAAAACAACAAAAGCAACGTAACGTGAAGCTCACAATGGCTACACACAAAACAAGCCAAACAAGGGTCAAGATCCCACCACATAGGTAGGCAAAATGGCTACCTAAGTATGATCCCCAATCAGAGACAACGATCGACAGCTGCCTCTGATTGGGAACCACACTCGGCCAACATAGAAATATATACAATCTAGATCTACACATAGATACCTAGATATTCACATGAAAACCTCTAGCATTCACACCCTGACCAACCTAACTAAAGAATAACAGGCTTTCAAGGTCAGGGCGTGACAACAAGATTAATGAGAATATACTACATACTATATACTATTAGTTCATTTTAGTATACTGTAAACAAAGGTATCCGTTCAGTTGAGCATACTAGAGCTTCACCTGTCTACCGGAGGTTGATGCTCTTGCTAGCTTGTTAGCATAACAAATTACTAGCTAGACATCTTACGACTTCGGGTGTGTTCTTAAATTCAATCTGGAGTGCCAGAGTGCGCTCAGAGTGCGCTCTCGGCGTTAGTAAATTCAGAGCGTTTTGCTCTCGGAGCATTCAGAGCGCACACTGGACACTCTGGCTGAGGAGTAGGGTTTACCCGAGTGTTCTGGCCTCACAACGGCAGTCAAGCACCCAAGCTAACTGGCTAACATTGGCTAGCTTGCTAGCTACTTCCAGACACAAATGAGAGAACACCTCACTCTGACCATTTTACTCGCACTAGCAGAGCTGGTTAGGCAGTTTTCATGTTATCCAGAGCGTTGGCGACTGTAACTGTGCTGCTGGCAAACATTTAATTACGCTTTTTAGCAGACGTTTACTGACAACGGCCATATTCAAATGGTGTTGAGCGCTCTGGTACACTGAAGAGAGTGCTCTGAAATCGGAGTAGATAGCCAGAACTAATTTAAGAAAGCACCCGAATGTCCATTGAGAACGCACAACGACTATACCACTTAGCTAAGCTAAGAATGATAGGAATAATCAAGTCAATAAACGTTGGAAAGTTAGTTAGATAGCATATAGTTAATATACTGGCAAGTTTGATGGTCAAAAGTCATGGTCAAAAGTTTTGACAAGACACAAATACTAATTTTCACAAAGTCTGCTGTCTCAGTTTTGATGATGGCAATTTGCATATACTCCAGAATGTCATGAAGATTTATCAGATGAATTGCAATTAATTGCAAAGTCCCTCTTTGCCATGAAAATGAACTTAATCCCCAAAAAACATTTCCACTGCATTTCAGCCCTGCCACAAAAGGACCAGCTGATATCATGTAAGTGATTCTCTCATTAACACAGGTGAGAGTGTTGACGAGGACAAGGCTGGAGATCACTCTGTCATGCTGATTGAGTTAGAATAACAGACTGGAAGCTTTAAAAGGAGGGTGATGCTTGAAATCATTGTTCTTCCTCTGTTAACCATGGTTACCTGCAAGGAAACACGTGCCGTCATCATTGCTTTGCATAAAAAGGGCTTCACAGGCAAGGATATTGCTGCTAGTAAGATTGCACCTAAATCAAACAATGATTGTTGTGAAGAAGGTGTCAGGGCGCCCAAGAAACTCCAGCAAGCGCCAGGACCGTCTGCTAAAGTTGATTCAGCTGCGGGATCGGAGCACCACCAGTGCAGAGCTTGCTCAGGAATGGCAGCAGGCAAGTGTGAGTGCATCTGCACGCACAGTGAGGTGAAGACTTTGAGGATGTCCTGGTGTCAAGAAAAGCAGCAAAGAAAACACTTCTCTCCAGGAAAAACATCAGGGACAGACTGATATTCTGCAAAATGTACAGGGATTGGACTGCTGCGGACTGGGGTAAAGTCATTTGCTCTGATGAATCCCCTTTCCAATTGTTTGGGGCATCCGGAAAACACCTTGTCCGGAGAAGACAAGGTGAGCGCTACCATCAGTCCTGTGTCATGCCAACAGTAAAACATCCTGAGACCATTC